CGGCTGACTACAGCTCGGGGGACTCTCAGGGAGCCCAGGGGGGCTCATCCGAGGACACCTACTCCAACCCCTATGAGAACAGCCTCGCCCCTGCCCCTGGGCCCCTCACCCCCAGCTACGTGGCCTGCTCTTAGGACCCTGGCCCGAGACTGGTGGACGGAGGGGGGGGGCCACCCTGAGCACTGATGAGCTTAGCCATTGACCCAAGCCAGCCTGCTCAGGAAGCCACCAGCCTGCAGTATTTGAAAATATGTATAGTTTTCCTTTTGTGTGTGTGTATAAATTTATATATAGGCTTTTCTACCATGATATTTACAAACACCCCAGAAACCCCATCTTTCCCTGTGCCCAAGCCACAGGGACAACAGTTAAACTCCTTGAGTTCAGCCTGAAATTCTGGACCTGCAAACCTAAATACGAACCCTAATACAATAAACCAGTACCTGTCATATGAGCCTGCCCCCCAAGCAGCATTTATATCTCAGTGACGTAACCCATGAAGTAGTTTCTCTTTGTATCTCAGTTCCAGCAGGTAGGTAGACATCTTGGGCTGACTCCACGGCCCAAACTCTCTCTCTCTTAGGCCCTTAGTTGGCTCAGCATCCTGCTAATTATGCAATGAAGGGTGGTAGCAAGAAGGCTATCTTTTCTTTTTTCTTATTCTTTGGCTTTTTGAGACAGGGTCTCACTCTGTAGTTGAGCCTGACCTGAACTCACTATGTAGCCCAGGCTGGTCTCGAACTCACAGCGATCCTCCTGCCTCAGCCTCCTGAGTGCTGGGATGACAGGCGTGTGACACCACGCCCAGCTAGGGTTGTCTTTTCTTGCACATTTGATTGGCCAGAAAGTCATGTGACCTCAACTAGATTTAAGAGATGCTAGGAAATGTCATTTACTTGAACACTCAGGGGGAAGAAACCTGTTTTAAGAGCATCTAGCTGGTCTTTCCTTAAGGATGACAATAACTCATATGGCTTTATCATGAATCAGGCTGTACTTTAAGCAAGTACTGTGTTGGCACAGCATGCCTGTCATCCCAGCACTCAGGAGGCTGAGGCAGGAGGATCACTTCAAGTTCAAGGCCAGCCTGAACTGCAGCGTGAGAAAAAAAGCACTGTGTTAACACCAAGTACTATCATATGATTTGGTGGCAGTTCTGGTTTAACTGCTTTGTAAAAGTCTGGCATAAACTAAGAAAGCTGAACACACGCACACCTTATGCAACAGCAATTCTATCTCCAAGTATATATCCTAAGAGTAGATATGCACCAGGACACAAGTGCAAAAATACTTAAGAACATTAAGTAAGAGAATCTGTGAATAAATTGAGGTACAAACACCCATGGAATAATATGCCACAGGGAAAAAGCAATTAAACTAGAACTTGGCTGAAGGTCAGTAACAGTGCAGATAGCAAAGAAGGCAGGAGAAAAGCCTCAGAATATCATATTTATTTATTTGTGGTACCAGGGATTGAACTCGGGACCTTGCGCTTACAAGGCAGGCAGAGGAAACACTGAGGTAGATACCCGGCCCCAGAATATATTTATAACAAAACTTTCTATATAGTTCAAAACAGTAAAAAAAGAAAAAAACAAAAATTGCTTGGGCATAATATGAATACAATGATTCAAGTTTTGTTTTTGTTGTGCTGGGGATGGAACCCAGGGCCTCACATAAGCAAGCACACACCCCTGAGCTGTACCCCACCCCGATAATGCTAGCTTTTAAGGAGAAGAGCACTCTATTCCTTAGGTCTTGGTGCTGCATCTGTCCCTGAGAGAGAAGTATTCCAGCCAGGGGAAACCGAGGCAGAGAGAGGCTGCCCCCTGCAGCTCAGAGCTGACCCCCTAGAGATTGAACTCTTGTGGAGGCTGGGCTCCCTCGTCTGGGGGGGCCATGGGGTGATGGTCATCTCTCCATCCGGGTGGAAAGTCACCCCCCACTCTGCCCTGGGGCCCGGACCACCTGGCTCCAGGCAAACTCGGAAGCTGTGCTCTCCCGGGCCTGCTGCGTCTGCCTGCAGCCAGCACGGTGCCGGGAAATAGCGCTGGAGCAGTGCCCGCTGCAGGGTCTCCCCGCTGTCCGCTTCCTCCCGGGTCTGCAGGGCCACCAGGAGCCCACAGTGCCGGCTGGGCCCAGCTCGGTGGCCGAAGTAAGCAGCTGTATCCAGAAGCAAGGCGGCCAGGTAGGCGACCTCCTGGCAGCCCGGGTCCTCCGCTAGGTACTCCTCCAGGCTGTCCAGCAGCACAAGAGAGGGCACGGGCCCAGTGGCCTCATGGGCAGAGCACAGGAGCCGAAGCAGCTCTCGCGTGGAGGGCGGGTACTGGAAGCGAATCTTCTGTAAGATTCAGGAAGAACAAAAAGGCCACATTCAATGCAGCACCTAGACGCCACACGTGGCAGCTCTGCCCCTACTCCCTGCCACACTGCTACTGGGGCTCGAACCCAGGGCCCTTACAGTGAGTTCCATCCCCAGCCCTTCTCATTTTTATTTATTCTTTTTTTTTTTTTGAGACAGGGTCTCACTATGTAGTTGAGACTGACCTGGAACTCACTATGCAGCCCCGGCTGGTCTCGAACTCACAGCGATCCTCCTGCCTCAGCCTCCCGAGTGCTGCGATGACAGGCGTGCGCCACCACGCCCGGCTAACAAATAGGTTCTGTAATATGTATACCTAGTATTATTTTTTTATTTTGGTACCGGGGATCGAACTCAGGACCTTGCACTTGCAAGGCAAGTGGCAGGAGCACTGAGCTAATCCCTGGCCCTCATTTGCATTTTTTATTCTGAATCAGAATCTTGCTAAATTACTAAGTTGCCTAGACTGGGCTTGATCTTGCGATCCTTCTGCCTCAGCCTCCCAGGGTGCTGGGACTGCAGACCTGGGTTACCGGACCCGGCTCAAGCCCAGCTTCTTTGCATACTTTCCCAGACTAGGCTCTGAGTCCGTACACAGGTGGCTTCAGGAGGAAACAGCGGCTCAGAACGGTAAATATTCTACTCACACCTGTTTTTCCGGCACTTATGACTGACGTGTAGACTGAGGGCCAGCCTTATTTTTTATTCCCCCTCTAAATAGGTCAACGTTTCCACGGAAAGCCTGCTCCCAGCATTTTCAACCTGACCTCGGCCCCGACTGTGGTTCCACTGAAACCCACTCCAGGCCCGGCTAGATCCATGTTTAGTTCCGCCCCTTGCTTACTGCCTAACGCCGCCCGCGATTGGGTGGTGTTTCAGTCAATCTTAGCTAAATTCTGCACGATCCCGCCCCTCGCGTATTCCCAACTCCACTCAGTCAAGCTGCTCAGAATTGCTCTTCCACCGTCCCCGCCATTGGCCGACCTGCCTGTCACTCAAACTGACCCGCCCCTTCCCCGGCGAGTCTACTTCTAGTCCCGCCCCACTGTTATACCTGGAGCCGCAAAGGGTCGAGTGTCCCTGCGACACCGCGGGGCAGGTTTTGAAGAGGCCTCCGAGTTAGGAAGAGGATAGGACCTCGACCCTCTCCTGCTGCTTCCAGGGCCGCCGCAAATAGCAGCGTTGTCTTTCCAGAACCTGGAGGGCCGAGCAGCAGTAAAGGCGGTCCCGCCTCAGCCGCGTCCGCCTCCCCAGTCTCGACCGCGCTACACCGACTTAACACTCGCCTCAGCGTCTCCGCCATTCGTAAAGTACCACTGTCCAATAGGTGACGCGTTCCCAGTTTTAATCCCGCCCAAGCAGAGACTTCATTGGCTATAGTTGGTTTAGCTTCTCTATTGGCCATGGGAGCTGTCCATCAAAATTAGAGCTCACCGGCTCCACCCCTGGTGAACAGGAAAAGAACCTTAGTCTGAGCGTGCGGGTTGGGGGTGGGTGAAGAAGATAAGAGCTTCTTTTGAGGAAGTGTGAATGGCAGGAAAGCATGAATACTTTTTTTTGGTCAGTTAATCAGCTAATCGAACAAGTATAAAAGGCTTGAGAGTTGGAGGGAGCAAGCCCAGATCATTGACTTAGTGAAGTCTCCTAGCCTCAGTTTACTCGCGGACCCTCCTTCCTCACGGGCTTGGGGGCTTTTTTTTTTTTTTTTTCGGAACCGGGGATCGAATTCAGGACCTTGCGCTTCCGAGGCAGGCAGCACCACCACTGAGCTAAATCCCCAGCCCTTGGTTGGTTTTTTGAGACAGGGTCTCGCTGTGTAGGCTGGCGTTGAACTCTGGATCCTGCTGCCTCAGCCTTCTGAATGCTAGGGTTACAGGCTTGGGCCACTAAGCCTGGCGAATAGCCTGGGGGCTCCTGGAATCTCACTTGTGCTAAAGGGAGGGTGAACTGAAGCCAAGAAAGGAGGCAGGAGAGACAAAAAGGGGCTGGAAGACGGAAGGACAAATACAGCATGGACTTGGTTTGCCTTATTTACTTGTGCCTCCCCAGGGCTCAGAACGGGCACATTGGAGTTTCTAAAACACATTCTTGGTAAATCTGATGGAAGGAAATATTGTTGAGCAACCGCAGGAAAGGGAGAAACAAGGTGAATATTCATGATCACTAGCTGAGTGTCCTCACCCAGACGTCCCCCCCGAGCTGCCACTCAGGCCTGTGTTGCCCTGGCAACCTTGTCTCCTGGTAACTTCAAAGTGGTGCCGTTGCTTGGAGATCCAGGGGTAGGGCGGGACTGTGATTTCCTGGGCTTCCTCTCTCCCTCTGGGGCCAGAATACCGTTCAACAACAATCTGCATACACCCACTCACACAGCTGGGCACCCGTCCACGCACACACACACACACACACACACACACACACAGGCGAAGCCATGACATCTCTCTCTCTCTCATTCTCGCAGCTCTACCCTACCCTGACACAAAGCACCCTCATACACCCTGTCCTACATTTCTTTGAGACACTCACACCGCGCTGTCCCAAAAAAGTCTTTGCGCCAGCAGATACCCAATGTCACATTGCAACTCCCTGAGTGCACGAGCACCGAGGAGTGACACACAGCACGCACTGGGGTGCACAGGGCCACGCCACGCACAGTCCCACCACAGGCCCTTTGCACTTGTTTCTTTGCCTCAGCAGGCAGCTTGCACGTAACACTTAAACCCCACTGGGGTCTCTGGCGGAGCATCACCTGCTGAGAAAGACTCTCCTTCACCACGTGGCCCAAACTGCCACACAGCGTCTCGCCAGGTTGCCGGGACTGGCGCTGCGCTCCTAGGCTCCAGCAACTCTCCTGCCTCCTAAGTAGCAGGGACCACAGGTGTGACGCACAGCACCCAGCTTAGCCTGTGCTCTTTGATGATCTCTCTTCAGATATCAGTGTCAGCATTGGCGTCAACATTATTTTTGTTTGTTGGTTGGTTGGTTGCTATTTTGAGACAGGGTCTCACTATGTAGTCGAGTGCTACCGACCGTAGGGGAGCAAAGACTGGATTTCACAAGGAGAACAGGGATCTTCAGAAAGGTGGGAGCAGGTTCGGCGGCGACAGTCAGAAACCACACAGCACTGAGTAGTGAGGGTAGTAGCTGCTGCAATTTTATTTCTAACTCTAGGTGTATATATACTAGTTTCAAGGGCACACCTCAAGAGTGATTCCAGTCACAGGCAGGCATGAGAAAGATAGACAATAGTACTGTAAAAGCTAAGACCACAAGGTCAAGGTGAGACCACACCTATATACAATCACAAAAGCTAAGCACACTAAGTCAAGGTAAGACCACACCTATACGCAGTCAGAAGGGGAAGTTTGTAAAACAAAGGACTGGCTTCAGCATGTCACCTTCAGGATCACCTTCAGGACTTCACAGTCCAGGGCTCAGGGTCAGCACTTTGGCCGCCCGTCCTCTTGTGCCCCGACACCTCCCCATCTCTAGGAACATCTAATTGTTCCTGCCCTTTCCTGGGCCCAGAATACAATTCTACAGATAATGAACAAATAGTAATAAAGACAAAATAGAACAGAATTATAAATGAACCCAATGTCCCCAAACTGCAGGCAGAGAGGCCAGCTATTCTCTCCACGGCTGACTTCGCATGCGGTGTGTGCCAAGGACTTCCAGGAGGCTTAACCCCGTGGGGACGATACCTCGGGTCTGGTTTCTGCCAGGTGACCGGCATTGTCACGCAGACTCCGCTGGAGTGGTCGTGGCAGTGAGGGATTAGGATCTCTGATATGGGATCAGTAGAAAAGTCAGACTAGGAAAGTAAATGGGAAACTTGTGCAGTGGGGACATGGTAAAGAGTTTAGAGAAGATGGTCAGGAAGTTGTCCAGGAGGAGATGAGGCTGAAGGTAAGCGAAGGAGGGGACAGGACTTGTAAAAATCTAGCAGGGTAGGGGTAGGCAGTCCAGGCAAGGGAAACAGCTCATAAAAACATCCTGGGCTGGGGAATGTGCCTGATGTTTTCAGGGAGCGGCGAAGAGGCCTGTGTGTCTTGAGGAGAAAGAGCAAAAGGAAGACGGAGGGAGAGGAGGTGAGCAGATGCGTGGTGCGAGACAAGACAGAGGACAAACAGGACCACGGAGCCCCTGTTTGACTTGTCAAGGGTCTGTTTCAGAGCTCACACACCTGAGACCCACGGTCCCGAAGTTGAAGTTGCCTCCACTCAGGCGAGGAAAGGAGCAACCCTTCAGCACCGCGGACAGAGCCTCGACCCGCCAGTCTGGTGCTCTCCGCGGTTCTGATTCAACACAGACTACAAAGCCGGGCGTGGTGGCGCCCGCCTGTCATCCCAGCACTCGGGAGGCTGAGGCAGGAGGATCGCTGGGAGTTCGAAACCAGCCTGGGCTACATAGTGAGTTCCAGGTCAGTCTCAACTACATAGTGAGACCCTGTCTCAAAAAGCCAAGAAACAAAATAAATAAATAAAAATAAGACAGAATACAAAGGGTAAATAAACTAGAGCCTGAACTGCCCTAGATTTGCTCTCACTGCCAACCCGAGATGGGTATCTCAGGTGGAAATGCAAAAAATAAAATAAAAGTACGTAGATGCCTATTCGACATCACGGGCCTTGAAACATCGTAAACCCAGGGCTGGAGATTTAGCTCAGTGGTTCCGCCACCTGCCTCACAAGCTCAAGGTCCTGAGTTCGATCCCAGGTCCAAAAAAAGAAAATGAACTCAAAACACGATCATCCTCTACTCAAACCCTCCCCATCTGGATTCCCATGGGACCCTAGGTAAAAGCCAACTGTGTCCCAGTGCTCCCGCGACCTTGGCCTTGAAGGTGTGCCTGACTTCCCTCCTGGCCTCGTCCACACCTTTCCCGAACGTCACCCTCCCAGGGAGGCCAACACTGACCACTCTATCCAATGCTACACAAATGAAGCCCCAGCCCTAGGTCCCTGCCATCTGCTCCCACTGCTGAACTTTCTCATCTGCTCCGTGACTATTTTCTCTCTCACTTATTAGGACCCCACTAGGAAGTCGGTTTCACCAGAAGACTGTTATTTGTTCGCTGTTTTGTCCCCAGCGCCTAGAACAAGTTCTGATACACAGTAGGTGCTCAGAAAGATGCTTTCTGGGTTGGAGGTGTGGCTCAGTGGTAGAGTACATTGCTCAGAGCGTTCAAGGCCCTGGGTTCGATCCCCAACATTGCAAAATCAAATATTTTTTTATAAAATCAAATACAAAATAAAACATTTGTCAAGTGAATTCATCTCTTGAGCATGCCAATAAATCAAGGCTAGATGCAGGCTCATGCTGAGTTTCTGGCTCCCCTGTTCTGAGCCCTGGGTCCAGCCCCACTACAGGCAGCTACTGCTCTCTGCGGATATTTTCTTAAGGACTAGCAGCGCTGAGGACTGACTTAGGACTTGGGGGACTGAACCCAGAGCTTTCTCACTGAGCCACACCCTCGGTCCGTATGTATTTAGGTGTGTATGCATGCGAGGATTTTGAGACAGGGTCTTCCTAAATAACTAAGTTGCTCAGGCTGGGCTCAAACTCTCAGCCCTCCTGCCTCAGCTTCCCAGAATGCAGGAATGATAGTGTGTGGAACTACACCCTGCTAAGCCTCCATATTTTAAGCACACTTTTGTAAAGATGTGAAGACAGAGGACCGGGGATTTAGCGCAGTGGTTCCAGCGCCTACCTCACAAGCACAAGGACCCGAGTTCGATCCCCGTTACCAAAAAACAAAAAAAGGTGTGAAGACAGACTTCTGAGAAGTGAGAGAAAAGCCATCTTCTCGGGCGTGTGCCACACGTCAGCATCGCTGCGGAAGGGCCTCACTCAGGCTAGAGTTTGAGCACCTGGGGATGGCAGGTGCTGTGCCAAGAGTTGGGACACGGCAGGGAACAAAACAAACAACTGATTCTTGCAGAGCCCGTGTCCTACAGGGGAGAAATGCCATCCAATAATGTTGACACCAGCCGGTGTGGCGGCGCACGCCTGTCATCCCAGCACTCAGGAGGCTGAGGCAGGAGGATCCCTGCCAGTCCGAGATCAGCCTGGGCTACACAGTGAGCTCCAGGTCAGTCTCGACTGCCACGACCACTCCAGTGGAGTCTGCGTGACAGTGCCGGTCACCTGGCAGAAACCAGATCCGAGGTATCGTCCCCACGGGGTTAAGCCTCCTGGAGGTCCTTGGCACACACCGCATGCGAAGTCAGCCGTGGAGAGAATAGCTGGCCTCTCTGCCTGCAGTCTGGGGACATTGGGTTCATTGTAATTCTGTTCTATTTTGTGTTTATTACTATTTGTTC